TTCTCCCCTGCATTAGCAGAAGCCTATGCATTTGATATATGTGTATATATATATATATATATATATATAAATAAATTCAAAGTTTGGGAGAAGTAGATAAAGATGACAAAGAGCAAAGAAAGCTTTCTTGGTTAGAATTTTGGCCAATGGAATGTAAAGATTATCATTTATTGCAGATAGTAGCTGTATAAAAAATGATGCTGTCAATGTAAAATGAATAAAATAAAGACAGTATTTTCACAAGCTTTCCCCTATGGTTTTAGAATAAGGTCACCTTGATATTGCAGGAAAGAGCTTGATTTCAGCCTCATGCTATAGAGATTGATGCACTGGACTTGACCACTGTGTGTTAAATGAGATTCCGTCTTTCAAAAATCTCTCTTCTTTTTGTTACAGAACTTTTTTTTTCCCTCTGGAACATTATAAAACATGATACACAAAACCTACACATTAATCAGTTGAACTGTAATTTTTTCCCCCAACTCCATGGAATACGCAAAACTTTTTATATACAATCACACTCCATGCAGCTAAAGTGCACAATCATGGAAAAATATGCTGGAGGCTATGTTTTACCTTATAAAAGACTAAATTAACACAGAATTGCTCCCTACTGGTCGCATTCCTATGCATCCAAATTGAAATCTTTGTCAAAATCTATCCTATATATAACAAGTTCACACTGCAATTTAAAGAGAATAAAACTAACAGAAAATAAGAATAGGTATTTTTTCCTCTTTTTTTTTATTTTCAAAAATAAATATACCAGCCAACTTCATGCAGAGCTCTCTGCTCCATTTGGTCTAAAAGGGATCCTATTGTTCAATGGAATTGCTTTCTCTGTCTTGTTACTTAGAGATTACAGCCAGGGCTGTATATTGTAGCCACCCTATACTTAGAAGCCGGATAATAAAACACATAAATAACACACTGAATAAAACATTAAGACATAAAAGGAGTTAAGTGGAACAAAGGGCTGAGGCATATTGTGCACTACCCACGTCTGACCCTTGGAAATACAAAAGCCTCATAATTGTAATTAGTGAAACGCACGGCTACGACTTGCACCGTTGGACGGCGAGCGCGGTGCCTGCGCGCGGCTGAGCGCCCGGGGCCCCTTCACGGCCGTGCAGGGCCCTCTGGTGGCACTGGGACCTGTGCCCACGCGCCCCGCGCACCGCTGGCAAGAACAACTCCAACGGGAACACGGGAGGACAACCATAAACCTCGGTTTGGGGGTTTCTGTTTTTGTTTTTTTGCCCTCTTACCTGAAAGCAGCATTATTTCTATCACAGAGCTGCATTTTCAGACAGTCTTCACTTAAATAGATGAAGCGCTGGCTCAGTGTAAGGAGAATTTCTCCTCTCCCTTGCTTGGGAACAGGATTCCACCTGCAAAGTGCTTACAGCTGGGAAAACCTGCAGCTGATGGGAACAAGGCCATCTGCTGCCAGACCACCGGAGAACAAAGTCAGAGCACGAGGTATCACCTGCCTTCGCTGAGCTGCCAGGTCTGAATTCCAGCATCTCACATTCAGAGCAGCAAAACAGAACCGGAGGTGCTGCAGATCATGCCTCAGGATGTGAATTGCTCTTTTATGCACAAAGGAGCAACCTTCTGCCGGAAGGCTCCCAATCTCATTCATGCTCCCAGTAGCTGTCTAGTCCAGTCCAACAGCACCACTGAAGCCCTTATTCATCCTTCAGATGAACTGTGCTATCCACTTCTCCACTTGATGCCTGCTTTACTGATAACATGGCCTACTCTATCAGTTCATCAAGATTTTCACTACAACACACTATCACTTCCCTCACTGACTGCTAGAGGGCAATGCAGTGTGTACTTTGCCAGCATTTTACAGATGTTGCTGGGTTTATTTTGGTTTTCCTGTTTTCTTTTTGGGGGAGAGTCTTTACTCCTCCAAAGTACCGACTTCCTCTAGACTTGACAAACATCTGGTTTGACACATAGCTCTTGTGCTGCCGCCTTCATCTGGTCTAATTCGTAGTCCATCAGTGATAAATCTTTGCCCCAGGTCAATGCATGTGCAGTACTTGCCACTTCTAAATGACAGATACGTTTCTGTGACAAACAAATGAAACTACTGCCTCTTTAGAGAACAATGTCAGAAGGACAAAAAAGAGGAGACAGATACATTCTTAAAAGACACTTCTTTCCCTAAGCTGCAGCAAAGGCAGAACAGGAGCAGCAGTGAGGCCTCTGTTCTCTGTGTCAAGCTGCTGCATTATTCATTCAGATTTCTCCTACACAAGCTGAGCCTTTCCATAGAGCTGTCTCATCCCATTTCTGCATCCAACAAAAAAAAAAAAAAAAAAAAACCCAGGAAAAGATCTCAAGTCCCATTGCAGATCCTGCACAGCAGGAAATCACCAGTCCTCTGCAAACCATTCGGGACAGCTGGAGATGGCATCTAAGATGCCAGGCAGCAAACTACACATTTTCTGCTGCATTTCAGTAAGCAAAAAGAGGGAATCGTGAACAGCTCAGGCTGGTCATAATTCCCTCTTGAACCCAATTCACAGCTTCTACTTTTCATGCATATTTGACTTGCCACTGCCATTTTGACCATGACTTTTCCCATTTAACCTCCACTAACCCTGTAAATTAAATCATCTTTAGTGCAACAAGGAATAAACTCTGTGAAAAGAAGCTACTACTCATTCTTCCACTTGGCAATAAGACCAAGCAGCCACAGTTCACTCACACAGAGTGATTTATTTCTATGCTCTGCATCATTCTGCAGCTGCAGGAAGCAAGCAGGCCATCAGAGCTACCACTGAAGTCTTCATCTGAAATCACAAAGAGCACAGAAATTGTGAACCTAGCAATGAGATTCAGAGAAAAAAATGGCCCTCCTTTAAGCTACAGACACTTATTAAATGTATGGTTTCAGGGCACATTAAGGATAATATGCACTCAAAAATTTGGACCCTTTGGCAAGCAAGAAGAGACTAGAAGCAATTCAGGTGAAAATCATCACGCAAAATAAAATAAAATAAAATAAAATAAAATAAAATAAAATAAAATAAAAATAAAAATAAAAATAAAATAAAACAAAACACATCAGCCTTAAAGCCAAGCTGCATGGGTAATTCATGACAGAAGCTGCTCTGCTGGCTATACCAATTAATGGTTTACAAGCCCAGTCCCTACATAAGGTGAGCTGAGGAACTGTCTGCTCCATGCTTCATTATTCATGAGTTATAGCAGAGAAGAGGAAAATAATATTTTCCTGCATAAGATGTTGCATCATTCTGCACAGTATGGAATTGATAGTTTTATCAGGTATCAGTTAGGATCTCTGAGAGTCTAAAACACAGCCTTAAATATATATGGTAAGTTAGGTGCTTGTGTTTACTCAACTATTGTCAATGCAAAAGACAAACTCTTCCAAAATGGCAATTCAGCACCAAAGTTGGATGGATCTTCCGAGCTGTCCTCCCAACATGGATGCATAGGGAGCCTGCTGAAATAGTCTGCGTAAGCAGCATCTTGAGTGAGAGTAACTAGTCACAACGTGTAGATGCCCTCCTTCCCCAGTGAAGTGATTGAAGCAGTTTAACCCCTTCATGGGCTTTAGCTGAAACGTGTCAGCTGTTACCCTCCAGAACCTGTGACTGTATTTTATTATTGCAAATGTATTTTACTGTGTGGAAAATGCATCTACTGTGGAGTGAAAGAAGTAGCATCCAAGCTTTTGGCACTTGTTTTTAACATTATAGCATTTATTCCCAGCTTGTTCCATGTAACTTTTAGGTGCATTATGCTGTGAGCACACTGAACAGATAAAGCAGCTGTATACAGGTCACATCTAGTCTTGCTTGCCAGGACTGGAGAGATTTTAGTGAGCACATGAGATTCTCCAGTTCCTTCCCAGACAGGCATCACAAGCAGTCAGGAAAGGTCACCTCATTTGGAGGATGGAGCTTCTAACTAGTGCATCCTGACCTTCTAGCGCTGAGCCAGACTAGATGCTAACACTAGACCTGGACCCATGAAAATCTGGCACGCAGATAAGCATTTTAAATGGATCAAGACAATAAACCTCATTTAAGAATGAGACTACATCACAAAGAGCAGTGCTTGAGGAAATCCTCAAGCCAGCATGAAGCTAACTTCAGTACTGAGAGCGGCACAGACATCTCATTGTGGTGGTGCAGCCAGGCGTTTGATCCAGCCCCTAAAAGCAGAGCCAGAATGTGATAACGTTGTCAACATAACTCTCTGCTTTTGCAATCAAAGGTGACATAGGGCTAACTCAGCTATGTTATTTTAGGACCCGAACTAGTATCTTTGCACTAGCACTAGGACAACTATATTTCTTTACGCACTCCTGCTAGACCTCTGTGTTGTCCTAGCACAGATCCAGCCTGGTATATCTTCCTGCAGCCAACCCGCTTGCTCTGAGCTATTTCTATTGCTTATAATAAGATACTACTATACTGTGGCCAGCACATAAACCTTGCTAGAACAGTGAATCCACTTAAATTCAATGTCTTTCTGTTTGCCCCACTATTTTGCCTGGGGAAAAAAGGGGCATACCACAAGGTGAAATAAAGCACAATTCCATATTCATATTACCTAGTGAAATAATTATCACATGTAGTCTTAGGCCTTTGATCCATTGCCCACCAAAGTCAATGATAGAATTGCATGCTGAATTAAAAGGAAGAGTATGAAGACACATTTCAGAGTAATATGAAAAAAGGATAAAGCAAAAGACCACAAATCCCAAAGCCCTAACAGTCATGAAGTCACTCCAAAAACTGTCTGGCAAGCTTCACTACATAAAATTACTAGAAAACCCCATGAAATTTTACAATATCTATTTTTGTTGTTTTTGTTGTTGCTGCAGCATCCTTAACCCATTGTTCTCATTATAACATCATCAATTATCCATTGCTAAAAAGTGAGCTCTAGCATTCTGCAAGCGGTATTAATTGGTCTCAGTAGCACATAATGAGTTTAAAAGCTCCTACCTGTGTGCCCCCGGGGCTGGTGGCTAGAGGCGGACAACAATTTACAGCAGACCATTAACACATAGACCAGGAAGAGCCAGTCAGATAGAGGCATTGATTTGGCACAGAATCTCATCCTGAAGGCAGAAAAGGAAGCAACTGAGTGAAGAACAATGTGAGTAGGGAATAGCATAAAAATAACGCTGGGAAGGAAGAAGCTGAAGACTAAGATAGCTTATTACAAGGCAAAATTGACCAAAGTGGATTCACAGTTTGGTGGGATAAATTCCTTGTTTAGGATGTTTTATAACTGGAAGAAATGCAGTGGTTATCACACATCATATTACCTCCACATACATATTGATAAAAGCCTCATAGGAGTGCAAGGCCTTTCTAGGAATTTGCAATGGGTGTTTTTTTAGGAGCAAGAGTCATGAACACTCCAATTTCAGCATACATATTTATAAGCTGCGCTCCTATTTTTAAACTGCACCTATCTCAAATTTATATACCCATCACAGAAAAGTGTCCTTGTCACTTACTACATCTCAGGACTGATTTGCTAAAGCTACCAGCCACCATTTAGACGTGTACATGACATGACTGGACCTGCCGCCTTTCCTGGAGATCAATGGGTTTGCTCAGGGTTAAACACTCGCGAGGGACTTGCTGGTCTGCCAGGGTGCAAGAAAGCTGCACTCCAGAAAAGAGTTGTTCTCTGGGAGGCACATGTTGTTAGTCTTATTCATGTTAGTGTTAGAATTATGACCACAAATCCTCAGTAATTTTGCTGCACATATCTACAATTAAATCCCCCAATAGCTTATGTTGTGCCATTCATCATATAGAAAGGTAATCCGATCATTTCTTTAAACTCAGTTATAATGATTTATTATTGTGCAATACATAAATGGGCATTATGCACTTGAACTCTTAGATGTAATGTTCTAGACTTTCAAAAAATGCTGTAAGCAGGAATACATCAAATTTATTAGAGGCAATTTATAGATTTGCATAAATTGAACTAAATACTACTTTCGTAGCAGTGACTTTAGTCTGCAGTTAATCAGCACGCTGGGATTTGGAAAAGCCAATCGTGAACACGCTCATTTGCACCAAGAAGTCCTTTGAGAACTTCTTGTCTCTGTAGATTTCAGTTTTGATTCTTCCATGTATTTGCTAAAGAATTTGTTTATTTGTATATCTTTAAAATACCTGAGACTGTTCAGCTAATCAGATCATTCAAGCAGCCAAACTGCCTGACAGTTAAAAACAGACCAAAAAAGCAATAAAACCCTCACACCATAGACTATTGTCAAAGCCAGGGAAGCGTTTCCACACTGTTTTAAATTTGATAATTATTTAAAAATAAATCAAAACATATCTCATGTTTTCTCATTTAAAAACACTTGCTTAATTTTCCATTTCCCACATCACAGAACAATTTTGTCCTCTCTTTGAGTATCAAGCCCAAATAACTTTGAATTGCACTTGGTAATATCAAGAATTAAGAAGCCAAAAAGTCTGTAGCAAATATATTTTAGTAACAAACACTTGAGGAAAAAAAAATATATTGATGCAAACACCAGCATCTTCAGTTCTTTGTAGACTTTACTCAAGCCTATAAAGTTTTTTTTTTTTTAACCTTCACAAATACTGCTAAAAATAACTCAGTACACTGTTGATTTAAGAAAAATATATATATATATATATAGCTAAATTTTAAGGGCTGATTTAGAAAGAAGAGGGACCTCTCTGTGCTTTAACAAGGCCCTTTGTTTCAAGTCCAACACATGGTAACAGTGAACACAGATGCATCAGCACCGGAATGAACACACTGAGGCTCTTTCACAGCAGTAAATAGGAGTTTTCCTCAGACAGGGATCAAGCCCAGATGATAGAGACTTCACTCATCCTTACCCTACAAGTATCCTCATCTGTGGAGTTCCCAGGTTAATTCAGAGCAGCCACACTTCACCTTGTAAGCACCAGCCTAATTCACCTCTCACATCCAGCTGAACCATGACATGCTAGTGCAGCTAATGGGACCGTGTCACTGTGAAATGAGCATAAATGGCATCATTGCTGTGGATCTAATATTAGCCCAAGGAAGCTGCCCACTTGGCTTGGAAATCAACCTACCCTTTCAGGCAAAACTTCTGTCGCCCAAACCTTCCCCATTTTGCCCCACTGAACCTCCTTTTGTTGAGAGCTCAATTCAGCCTTAGTTTTCTTGCTCCATCCCCACACATGGCTAACAGCTCATGCACCAGCTACCACTAAATAGGAAGTCTGCTGGTTTTGCAGTCCTGTTCTTCTGTTGCTCTGACTGCAAACACAGCCTCCACACCAGTTATGACAGTCATTCAGTGCCATTCTGAACATACTGAGGATAGAGACCTTTCTTCAGTTTTCAGGGGATAGGACTGAAAGCAGCATTTGACCTTTGAAGCTAAATACCAGCAGATTTTCAGATGTTTTGAGTACCCCTTTCAGATGCAAGTTGATGGAAGAAACATATACTTTCTAATTGTGCACCACATGTGCTCAACAGTTCTTATTTCAGCATGTAAGCAAACCCAGGGGTTTCCACCATTCCCAGAGAGGGAGTAAGGCTGCTCTTGTGTAAATGACTGTGCATTAACCTCATTTCAAAAGCTATTCCAGATTTTGAAAGTTAGACTCTGAAGTCACATCCCTGATTTTAGGCAGGAAATGGAAAAGCAGGTTTATAAAGGGTATCATGTTTTGCTTTTTCTATTTGTATATATGTAACACTTCTGCTTTTAAGCAGGGAGATGTATTTAAGCTTCAGTTCTAAATATGCTCAAATGTGTGTGAGAGACAGGTCCCCTCAACACAGTCCAGTATGTGCACAAGTTTGTTATTTACTAACAAACTTACACAGAGTCCTTCCTGAGCTCTCAGTTACATCAGTTTTACAAACATTCCGCAGTCTGTAGCACATTCTAGGCCAGAAATACCTGTATCACAACAGGGTAAGAGCATAGTTATATCCAAACTGAAGGGCTGCCAAAAGCACTGCCTACCAAAGTCAGTATACATTTGCAGGTAGATAAGAATTTAACGTACCTTGAGGTAGACAGGACACAGATTTCAGCCCACTAGTATAAATAGAGAGGGATCTTTTAAAAAGGAGAGAAAATAAAAAAGCTTGGCAGACAAATGCAGTGAGGGGCACCTAGGCGTTTCAGTGCCAGGGGGCTGCCACTCTCAGAAATGTCAAGCCTTCATTCTCTCTTGGATTCACGTGGATATGGTTGCTAACCAGAACAGCAACATCTTCAGTGTCATTCGAAAGATAAAAAGTGTTCTTACCTTGGGGACTTTGCAAGAATTTTGTTCCAGTCAAACACAATTATTTCAGTGTGTTTTTCATAGTTATTCCAGATTCCCATTTGCGACTGCAAATAAGCCTTTCTGCATTTCGGAATTTCTTCCTTCACTTTGGGGACCTGCAAAGAAAGCCATATTACACTGCAATTAAAGTCCTGAATGATGCTGTGGAATAGAGGTTGGTTACCAAAATCATTGTTTCACAGTGCCATCTACAGTGCAATCCAAGGCAAAAGGCAGCAGTCACACTGTTCTTTTCACCTGTTTCATAAGGCAGCACTGAAACATCACCAGATTAACTGCACACAGAGTATGCCACAAATAAAATGTGTGCTCTCTTGACAAGCAACCACTGTGGAAGCAGTTAGGATCTGGAAAAGACATCACCTCAGTGCAAACAGACTCCATATTCTTACCTGAAAGCAGTTTGAACCACAGATGATTTAAAACAGAGGGAAGACGTTGCACTGCCTTCGTAAGTGCTTGGCAAAGGTCCTTGGCGTCCTTGTAAGGGCCCAGGAGAAGAGGGGCTGAGTCACTGTGCGTGTGCTGCAGTGTTTCATAGTGCTCTCTGCCACCTTTGGCTCTCCTTGCTCCCAGGGAGCACATCTCACACAAACCTTCCTCTACCCAGAAGCTGCACTTTCCAGAAGTCACTCTGTGGAGATACTTTTGCTGCAGCACTGTCATGTTCCACAGAATAATGAGCTCATCACTCCATTACACAGACATTTGAGCCTCTATGCTTTTTCTGGTTTATATTTGTTCTCACTCCAACCCCTGGGCTCATCTTGACCTTCTGCTATAGAAAACACGACACTGCGGTTTGTCAGAGAAATAACAACATGGTGTCCACTTACAGAGTGATCACAATAGCTTTTCCATTTTTTCTCTCATCACTCCTCTTATTTCACTCTGCTTTTGATCAACTAGAAATTTGCTTTTAAGAAATACAAACTTACACTGTCCCATTAGAAGCCAAAGTATCTCTGGGGTCATTAAAGCATGGAAGCAGATGCTTTTCAAAGGTTTAGCGTAGGAAACTCCCAGCTAAACATGCTCCACTCTTTTCTGTTCACAACACCATGAGAACTTACAGAATTGGTAGAATTAAAGAAGTACCAGGCCACCAACATACAACTAGTCACATTTTACCCTGCCTTCACTTTCCAATGTGGAAACCCTCAGATTAAGCCAGCCACATCCCAGCAGTTTTGGTAGAAAAAAAACGTTGGCAAAAAGATATCTTAAGACAGAGCACTACTGTCCTTTCTTCCACAAATACACATAAAATAAAAATAAGTGGGCCTCAGAAGTTTTATTGAGAAAACAAGCAATCAGGATTTTCAATACAGTACTGAATGACTGAGGTAGTTATGTGGTACATTTTTACCCATTTCATAACAGTACAGGTAGATAAATATATTCTTACAGTGCTCTTGTAGAAATCAATATTGCAACACACTAACTTGAGTTTTATGGCTTATCTGTTCCATAATTCTTATTAGAGAGGAAAAAGTGCATAAATTTATCCACATGTAAACGCTAATTTTAGGGTAGCCTGTTCTGTAAACACAGGCTAGACACTGGCTGAAGATATGGAAGTATGGATTATTGTAACTCAGTGTAATTAGACGGATGCAGAGGGAAGCAGCTAACACAGCCACCAGCACAGCACAGCTCAGGGCTTTCTCCTGCCCACTGGCCATCTTTCTTAGGAGAACAGGGTTGTTTGAGGAGTGAAAAGCAATTCCTACAGGAAAGGAAGAGGCTGAGATTCAGCAGTTTCATTTGAAATAAAGAGCAGAAGAGAAAAGAAGCACTCACCTGGTTGATGTTGTTAAAAGGAACGCCAGGCTTCCAATGACAAAGCCATGTTTTGGGCTGGTTTTGTGATGGCAGATCTTAACGCTGGTGCCGGGGCGCGGGTGGCTTTGGAAAGCGGAGCCGCTTATTAGCGCATTGCACAAACAAGCAAGTCGCTCGCGACCTCCTGCGCCAAGAGCTCTGCTGGGGCAGCGCGGGCTGCGAGGCCAGCGCGTCCCGCGAGGAGCCAACTACCCTCCCATTGGCCACCGGCGAGCACCGGGGCTGCTTCGGAGGAAATAAAACTCCCGAGCTGACTCCCAAGAGGTACGCGGAGGCCTGCAAACGACTGGAACTTGGTGGGCGAGCTCCTTGGCTTCAGTGGAATGGGGTTAATTTTCAGGACTGGAATTCAAACGGATGATTATCCATGGGAGGAAACCCTGTAAAGAAAGGAGGTCTTTTTTTACAACTGCTCCTAGCCACAAGGCAACATCTCTATCTGTAGCAAATGTAGCAAGGCTATACAAAGCAAAGGATGAGGAAAAAAGAGGGAGGAAAAAAAGCAGGGAAAAGGGGGAAGGCCCAGGCTCTCAGCATTTATGTGCCAGCTTTATGCTCTAGATGCGAGTTGTTCTGGATTCCACTTGAAGCCCCCCAGTTTTCCCTTTTCAGGGTTCTACCATCGAAAGAAAATTCCTGAAATTTGCCACTACAGGCTCTCTCTGAGCCTCTGGACCCTAATAAAATAAGTAACATTTCCCTCAGTCAGAGAAGCATTTCAAGAACAGATGTTGCAAAGGTCTTGAGTTATTTAGAAGCTGTATTGGCATGATATAATTACTTTAGCCAGAATAAGATAACATTTTAAATTGATATTTCTCCTACTGATATTTACATGTTGTAAAATACTTTTTCTTTTTACAGATACTTTCCATAAAAAATTACCAAAGCTCTTTATGCCATCCTTTGTAACAAGCTATTAAATAATTAAAAAAGAAATCTCTCTCTATTAAATATTTAAAAGGCCTAATTTCTCAGTTCTTGGCAATTCCTCATTTAAAATAAAGATAGCGCATCCCTTAAAAGACTCTTCCTCCGCAAAAGCAGCCGGCACCAAGGCAGTAAGTATACATGCCACACGCTTTGCAAGGCGACTTGTCAGCCTTGGAGTTTAACCTACTACCAGCCCTATTCAAACTACCATGCCCTAGTGAACTGAGAGGAAAAGCAGAGCAACATCTCAAGCTTGGCAGCAGAGAAAAAGAAATGTGATATAACACCATAAATATATATGATAAAAAAAGCACCATTATGTGAGTTTGGCTTCAAGTCAGTAATGTGGGAATAGAAAGCAGAAGCAAATGCCTGCTTGCCAGGCTTTAAGTGGGGTACATGGATACAGAGACGGTCCGTTGCAAGGGAAAACACGGGTAACATTAGGGATATTGTGCCCGATGCCCACAGAAATAACCCCGAAGAGGCCACAGGAACCGTTCCACGCCCTCGCGCCCGAGGGCAGCCACCCCAGCAGCGCCTCACGGCTCCCGCCGCGCTAACGGCCGCGGTGCGGTGCGGTCCGGTCCGGCCCGGCCCGGCCCGCGATCCCCGCGCACCCCCAGCGGAGCAGGGCGCTATTAAATGCCTCCCATTTGTGCCATTCCTCAGGAAACCTCGTTAAATCGCAATCGCACCGAATGCACCATCAAATTCCACCCCATCCCACCGGCCCTCTCTGCTCACTGTTCCCTTCCAGAGCCCTCTGAGCCCTCAGAGAAATCCCCTCCCTTGGCGGCCTACTGTGCTGCTTCTTATTTTTGTGCGAGAAAGAACTGTCGGTGCAAATTAAGTTTCATCATTAATCATATTAACACATTGCTGTCACAGCTGCCTCCAGTCACCCTCCCCTCCTGGCCTCTGCTCCCCAAGCCACCACACGCACACCAACACCTATCATCATTCAGCTTTTGGACAAGCTAAGGGATAGCTCACTCTAGGAAGGTAGAAGAGAGCCAGATCCAGCGTCCTGCAGGGTATCAGGCTTTGGTGGTCCTTCTGTGGCTTGTAGGATGCCTCAGCTCTGATCTCCAGGGTCCTCACCCCGGGAGCCAGGCTGCGAGTAACTGCAAGAGGAGACACTGAAGTGCTTGGCTCCCCATACGGGCTGACAAGGTGGTCCCTCTCTCCTCAGGGATCGCTGCAAATTGTGACAGAAATGGACCAGAAATGAACTGCTACAGTTTGGACTCTCACTTTAGGCCCTCAAACCTCTCCCAGGAATCTTACATTCAGCCACAACTTCTATGCAAGTCACAGATAACTTTTGCATGATCCTAAGACTTCAAGTGGCAGAAAATTCACCACAGCTAAGTTATTCCAACAGTTCATTAACCTCACTTTAAACACTGCACCTTATTTCTAATCTGAATTTGTCCAGCTTCTGCTTCAAGGCATCTGATCTCATTAGGACTTTCTGACAGATGAAAGTGCCCTCTGCTATCAGCTATCACTGCCCACATTTGGTACTTGCAGCCTGTGATCAAATCATTGCTGAACACTGTCTTTGCATAAGCTAGATGGAGCTTCTTTAGCCTCTCCCTGTAAAGTTTTGCGCTATTAAATCAGCCACGTAGCTCTTTTCTACATCACTGCCAATTTCTCAACCTCGGATTTTTCTAAGTGAACATCAGAACATGATGTAGCATCCACAGATGGTCTTATTAATACCACAGAGACAACAAACCTTCCAGCCTGTGCCCAATCTTCCTTCCTGATACAGTTTACCAGTCTTCCCAGCTAGTGGGAAACAAGGACAAGTCAAGGGCTTAAAGGGCTCAGTTCGGCCAGTCTTACTCACAGAGTAATGCTTTCACGAGGTAGTAAGGCACTATGCAACCTGAGTAAGGACACAAAGTCATGCTTACGAACATGAGACCATTTCTTGCAGTACAAACAAGCAAAATGTTGCTATGTTTGGCCCAGTTCCTTTGTCTTTTAGGCCCAGAATTGGCATTTACTTTCCTGCCACATTTACTCTCCTACAGGTATCACTGACGGAGACCTGATCACACCGGCCTCACAACATAAGGCAAACCCAAGTGAGAAGGCTCTTTGGACATGAGAAAGTTAGCTAAGTGAGGTGGCACTAAGGGCACTCCCTAACTTTTAAGAAATCCAAACATGTTGCCTAAATTCAGTTAACACTGAGTGACTGCAGTAGTGACTGCAGCACCTCTTCGACTCTAGCAAACTAACAAGCTACACCAGCAATTTTTGAAGTG